GCCCTATTGTAAGAGTCATAATACAAAGCTAGCCATGCTGCATGCTCACTCACTCACACACACACACACACACACACACACACACACACACACACACACAGACCTCTGCCTTGACTGGCAGCAGAGCTGGTCTCCATGGACTAAGCAGTTTAAGTGTGAGAGCTTGGGAGGTGTGGTAACCTCAGGTCCTGCTTCTCAAAACCCTGAAGGCTGCTTGAGGGCATCCTCTGAGACTACTGGTAAGGGGAAACTGGTGTGTCTATGAAGACTGCTGGAAAGGAAGCCCAGGACCAGAGACTGAAATGCTGGGGTCCTTGCAATAGAGCCTACAATCCCTGGGATGCCTACCCCAACTCTGTTCTGGCTCATTAGATTCAGACTAGACCATCCTCTCTGAACCTCTGTAAAAACGAGGAAAAGACACCCTTTCCCAGATAACCTCTGTGGTTTCTCTAAGCCACCCAAAGCCATGTCTCACAGGAGACCACAAAGAGCAAAAAACAAGACAGACCAGCACACAGGCAGATGAGGGCCTGGCGCTGCCCACACCCAGAACAGCCATCTCCCCTTTCTGAATTGGCTGGAGTGACAGTGGCAAGAGGCCAGCTCAAGGCTGGGAAGGGCTGCAGAGTCACCCTGCTTACACCCGCTCCCACCTGGCTCCCCAGGGGGGCACTTCCTTGTGGGCACAGAACCTTTGCTGTCCAGCTGTCACTGGGGCTGCCTGGCCTTCCCTGTCCAACCTGGTGGTCACCCACATTCCACAACCTCAGGCTGACTCATACAGATCCAACCCCACATCTGGCATCCATATGTGGTTGGCACTCTTCAGGAGGGGCGGGGGTTCACATCTGGCTGAAGAAACAGGAGGATCCTCAGGGGGCCAGTGACCCCAGGGAGGGTCGGCAAGCCTCCATTCTCTCAACCAGAGGATGTCTAGGTGACATGGCTCTTTCCAGAAATCACTACCAGCAGCCCTGGTGCACTCTAATACCTATGCCTATAGCCAGTGTCACTGGCATAGATGCAGGAAGCTCATCTCCATGACATGGCTGCTGAGGAACACTAGATCCCAGGGTCACCGAGAAGAAGAGAGAATGCTCAATGAGGTGGCAAAACTCCTTGTCCACAGCCAGGAGACCCCAGTCCCTTCTTCCCCGTCTGACCCATGAGACAAAAGTTGGGCTAGCCCTGGGGCCCTATTGTTCAAAGCAGAACTTCTACCATGATAGTACTGTTACTGCGACCAACCATCCAGTCCATTTCAGTACCCAGTAATCCACTCACATCCACATCTGCATCTTCCCTGCTCACTACCACAAATCCATCTCCTCACAGCCTTCCTCCATCTCTTCCACCATCGTCACTATCAATCATCCCTCACTACGGTTGTCATCTCTGCCCACCAGCTCAGGGGCTCCCCACCATGGGAATGGGGCCTTCTTCCTTGCCCATCAAGATGTTCTTGTGGCTTTTCTTCCAGGTCTGATCTGGAGCTGAGAGTCAGCATTCCACTAGGATATGAATTTGTGAGCCCTGTAAGGGTTGTTATGTCTCTTCTAGGTTGCCGAAGGCTAAATCACCAGCACGGGGAAGGACAAAGCTCAGGCCTGGGGCCCCAGAGCACCCGAAACCAGGATTTACCCCACTGGGTCTTCTTGAACCACAGGAGTAAGAACTCCGCCCTCCCTCCCGTGTGGCTGCTGAGTACTAGGGTAAGGGTGAGGCAGGGCTGGCATGTAGTCCCAGGGGCCAGCAGGGGAGCCCAGTCCTGGCTCAGCTATCCTCACCCTACTACATTTTCACTGACTCCAGAGGTTCCTAGGCACTAAGTCATGCTGAGATACACCAGAGGTCTCCCTCGGCTCAAGCCACCTGGGCCAAGATGCCTGCCCACAGCACTTTCTCTCAAGCTGTGTCCTCTGAAACCATGGCATAGGCTGTCAGGTGGAATACTTGAAGCTCGTGTGAAGGCATCTTCAGTTTTCCATCTGGTAGTGCCAAAATGTCTTTCAACAAGGGGGTGACTAATAAACATTTCTGGGAATGGAGCACTTTTCCAAGAATTGGCAAGAAGATGATGATCTCACCTTTCACAAGAAGAGCTGATGTGCATCCCAGAGAGAAGGAAGAGGATACTTGGGCTCCCTGGGCAGCTGCTAGGGGACAGGCATCACCCTCAGTGGGTCACAGTGGTTTCCACACACAGATGTAAGCAGCCCAGCAGGCCAATTCCGATCTACCCCCACCCCCACCCCGCCACCTCTCTACCCGCTAGTACCCAGCATCCCTGCCCTCCTGATTCTCAGACCCTACTTTTCCCACTACTAGGGATCCCTGCTTTGTGGGAGGTGTCCGTGAGAAGCAGCTCAATGCAGTGGGGGACACAGTACAAAGTTAAAGGAGGAGTACAAGTCAGAGGAATTTTTCCCCAAGAAGCAGAGGAACTAGGGAAAAGAGACACCCAGGAAGTGGAGGGCCACAGCCAAGGTCAAGTAGGCCAGAGCCCTTGACTTCAGGGGCAGAGATCTCTAGAGCAAGTGAAGGAGTCTCAGGGTAGGCAGCTCCAGACAGATTTGCTTCCTCTATGGCTGGGCTGGCAGGGGGATGCTGTCGTGGTGGTGAAGGGAAACATGTGTGTACACACACACACTAACAGCGGTCTTCGAGGCTGTGGCTCTACACTTGGCTTGGCCCTGACTTGTGAGCATCTGTAAGGTGAGCCAGATTCCCCTAGAGGGCAACAGAGGACTGAGGTGGGGACAGGTGATGGATGACCTGATCTCCATGGGCTAATGTCCCCTTAGACACAGTGCCTAAGCACCTGGATATCCTGTCCCCTTGATCTGAGGAAAGGGAAGCCTAGACTGATGAAAGGAATGAACCATCTTCCCCACGGGGGGGGGGTCTCTCTAGATGGGGCCAGCATCCTGCTCAGGCCATCACTGGGCTCTCCTGATCACTGGTTTTTCTTGCCTTGCCTGGTGTCTACCCACCCAAGCTTGGTCTGACACACCTTGGGCTGCCCAGCCAGGCTCTTCCCACAGGCCTCCTCATGTTGGAGGTTTCTGCCTACTGGCTATCACCCAGGGTTAGTGGAGACTGAAAGACAGTTCTCCAGCTGCCCCAGGTCAAGCCTCACTTGGTGGGGCCAGGGGTAGAAAGGGCTCTTCTCTCAGCAGGGGTGGCAAAACCTGGGTTCTAATTAGCAGCTTCTGGAACATCCAAGTGCCCTGAATATGAAGGAAACGTGTTTCCTAATTGGCCCCCTGCCGAAGTGTCAGTAGGCAAGCAAGCAGGGATTAGGCAGCCTCTGAGCCAGCTCCCTTGGCCTGGCCTCCCCTCGTCTGTTTCTAGGTACATTCTCTCCTGTCCTCCAATCCATATTCTCCCTGGACTGGTCAGATATTCCAAGTGCAGGAGGGCCACCTAGACACACTTCACCCAGGCTGTGTGGGCCAACCAAGGGTACATCATGGAAGATTCCCACAGCTCTGCGAAGTCCAATGAGAGGCCTTTCCCAGTCTCAGCAAGCAACCCCCTGCAGTACTCACCTGCCCACCACCCCACATTATGGTCTACCACTTACTACCTTCTCAGACCAGACTCCCTGAGGCCCTCCATATCCCATGGTGCCTGGCTCTTCTGAGCCCTCTGTGGAACTTATGTGACCCCACAGTAGACACTGAGCTACACTGAGGGGACTACCCTTACTTCAAATGACCTTATTGCATAAGGGTAGCCCTGGAGCCAGAAACCGCTGCAGTGCTTAGAACATGTTATGTCTCTACCAGAACCTCTATGGCGTGTAACAGCCCCAGCATAAGAGTGCTGACAGGTGGGAGGGCCCTCTGGGGGTATGTTGGGTCCAGAGGGGTCCATGCTCATGAAGGTCCCCATGAAAGGTAGTTAGGATCGTTAGAGCAGGTTGTGCAACACAGCTGGCTCCTTGAGTCCCCATTCTACCATGAGCTGACACAGCACAGGACCCTCACTAGAAGCCAAGTGGATGCAGGTGCCATGCTCTTGAACATCAGAAACCATGAGCCAAAAATATACCTCAGATATTTTGTCAGGGAAATGGAAAACAGCCTAACCCAGAACCTCCCAGGGCTGCTGGGGAAGGAGGAAAGCAGAGCCAGGCAGTGACACTGTGGGCATGGGACATTCAGGTCGTGTCAGCCCTGAGAAGGTGTACCAGAAAAGAGAGGCCAATGTGGAGCCAGGAGGCCATACCCAACCCTTCCCTAGCCAAGAACACCTCCTGCTGACTCCGCTGAATTTGGGGTCAGGGAAGCCCCAGTCTTAAATCCGTGAAGGAATGTCATCGTTAACCTGGTGTAGACAGGGCACTGTCACAGGCCAGGGTGACCCTGGAATATTAATTATATGGAGAAGAGCAAAACCAAGTCCAAAAGAATTAGGTGGAGCATGGGATCCACGTGAGTAACTTTAGTGTTTTCCCCTTTCTGTCTAAAGACCAGAACAGACCAGAATAGACACTGTGGATCAGAGATAGCTCCACATGACCCCGCCCACTCCTCCTCAAGCAGGCCTGTCCCATTCCTGGCCCAGTGCTGGCTATGGGGGTGGGAGCAGTAAGTTAGCCCTCACACTCCTGACCGCACCAGGCCTTCTGCTTTGCCAGGAGCAAAGGATCAGGCTTCAAGGCCAAAGCCTGGGAGAGTACTGAAGCCACAGGTTCTCAGCCCACAGACTCTGGGAGGGGCCACTCTGGGACCTGCCTCTCTCTGTCTCTGGCAGAGATGCGGGCTGGACCTGAGATGTGAGATCCTCCTGTAGCCACCACCCCAGCCTGAAGGAGGTAAGTGCTTCCTTTATTTCTCAAGGACAGTCCTGTCCAGGGCAATTGGAAAGATCCAGGCTCTCTGTGGCTTATCAAGAGACAAGGTATTCTTGGGCATGAGATTTCATGGATCCCAGGGACTCTGTGACACGAGCCATTTGCAAGCCACCCCAGAGAAGCCCGGCACACTCACCATAGTCCTTCCTGCAGTATTTCTTCATGTTCATCTTCAGCTTCCCTTTGGAGGCCTTGCAATAGGAGTCACAGTCTGCAGGGGAGGACATGGACAGAAACTCATTAGGCCACTAAAGAATGGGCTGATGGCCGAGTGGGCCACCTCCCTAGATACCCAGTGGTATCCATGGGCTAGGCTAAGCGGGTGGCCCATTCAGGACAGGCTGGCTTTCTAAATAGGCCAGTGGGACAAAGGCCACCTCTCTTTCCTTAGCCTGGTAGACTATTTCAGCCTCCACAAGAGCCTTGGGGGCCACTGTATGGTGCTACCCAGGGATTCAGAGTGCCACACCAATTCCTTCTGTCCTAAGATTCAACTAGAACCTGATTAAAGCAGCCAGAGACCCCAGAGGCTGCTGGGTCTGTGTCAGTCGCTGGCTTTCATGGCATGAAGCCTCTGGCTGGGGTTAGGCCCCAACAAAAGAGGTCACAGGGGAAATTAGCAGCCCATGAAACATTTCAAAAACATCTTTGGTGTCCACTCTAGTGAAGTGTGCAACGAAAATGCCCACAAAAAGAGTTTAGCCCTAATGGGCCCCACCGCTGAGAGGCAGGCCTACTGGCCGCTGGCTGCTGGCCATACCTGCCGGCCACAGCTTTGAGGGTTCCAGATTCTAAGAGAGCCAGGCAAGCGGTAGATGCAAAGTTTACTTCTCCTACAGTGGCTCTGTTGACCCCAACCCCAAATGCAGCCTAACCTTTCGCTTTCCTGCCAGCAATTTCTGCTTCTTGGAAACAAGGTGATGTAACCTCTTCATGAGCTCTGTATCATAGATAGCCTGATGGGAAACCACCAGCCACCTGCCCAACCCACATCATTGTACACACTGCACCTCCCCACAAGTCTAACAGTTGGTCTCATGTAACCATGTTATTCCCATTGGGTAGGTAATAGAACTCAGGCTCAGAGTTAGGTGAGCTACATACATGGGAGAAAGGAATGATGTGTGTGAGGACAGGTGACCTCCACTACTGTCTGTCACCAGCCTGTGGCCAGGATCTTCAGGGGATATTCAGTGGCCATCTCCCCCAGAGCCCCAGAGCCTGTCTCTAACCACAGCAAGCAGCTCTTCTCTCAAGGCACTGGATGTCCTGACCCATGCCTCCCTTAACTAGGGCAACTCCATCCCACCCATCGGGAGCCATGGCCCAAATTCCACAACTGGGGGCCAGCCTGTTGGGGCCAAAATTCAGGAACCAGTTTCAAGAAATGGAAGAAAATCATGGCCTCTTCCTCCTTGCCTTGTGGCCTGCCCCTTTGTAGCTACCTCAAGATGGCCTTGCCCAGGGACAGTGCCAGCTGAGCAGGTGACTGGTTTCTGGGGTAGGAAGACTTTGGAGTGCAAGAGCCAGGCTCTCCAGACAGTGTGGACTCTTCACTCTGTATAGCAATGCCCAAAGTGAAGGCAGGAAAGGAGCAGCCCCATCACAGGCATCCACTACCATCATTCATCGTGGCAACCCTTCCTATTTGGGAACATCTGTGCCAAGTATGTGCACCGTCACACTTGCTGCAGCCACTCCATGGATGAACCCGGGTTGTACATATGTCCTGGTGTTTGCAAGCAGGTCTGGTCAGTTTCCTGCACTGCGCTCTCCACTTAGGGAGGTAAACTGAAATGCAAGTGGAGCCAAATGACGTCACTGCAGGGTCAGCTTGCTTAGAGTCCACTTGGAGCTTTAGTGTAAGTTTTTGTGAAATTGTTGGCCCAAGTGAGTGCTCTCATTTCCAATCAGGAAGAAGTCATAATGCCTCGAGTCTTACATACAGGCTCAGGAAGGCATACCCATGCAACAACCCAGGTGGAGAGGACATTATTGGGTGTGTCAGTTTTGCATGAGGGAGGCATGATGCCCAATTAAAATACTGTCTATGGACTTCACATTGGGTCCAGATCACTGAGGTCACTGGACAAGTGGTCCCTGGGTAAGGAAAATGGCCTTGTCGTTGTTTCCTTCATTTCCATCACACACAACTACAGAGACAAATCCCAGCTGAAAGCCCAGACCTGACTCCAGCAACATGGTGTCTACTTGGCAGTCACTTTCAGGGCCTCTCCTTGTTTTGTTCCAAAACAGCTATAAAGACAGTGAAAAAAAAAATGAAAATTCACACTAAGGCCAAGAATGAAACTGATAGATGACCCAGTGCCGGAATCTGGGAGCAATCTCAATTAATTAAAGGCAGATGGTGGTGGATGAGGCAAAGCCTAACTGGGTTTTACCTCCAGAAACAGTTCTTTGTCTGATGAAAAGAAAGATCACAAAAAAAGGAGGAGGAAGAGAAGGAGTTGGAAGAGGAGGGGGAGATAATAGCAAGACAATGAGCAGAAAACAAATGGATAGGAAGCATGGGCAGGGAGCGGAAGGAAGTTTAAGGAGGGCAGGACAGCAAGCCATTTGTACTGCCTCTCCGAACTTGCATTTTATCTAAATCATGGATGCCAAGAATCAGAAAAGGCATGGCGACAGGAGAAGATGCCAACCCCACAGAGCAGAAATGAGTCCCACTAAAGGCCAGGTAGCAACGGAACAGAGCTCCACCCGTCTGACATGAGGAATCCAGCCACCAGGGCTACGCAGGGATCTGCAAAGGGCCAAACCATAAATATGAGATGGCCATTAAACCCTCACATCTACTCACCTCTCCCACAGCAGCTCAGAAGCAATCACTTATAATGGGTAGAACAGGTCTACGGACTTCTAAAAAAGACAGCTTCTATGAAACTGGGGAAGAAACAAGGCCTAACAAGGCGCGTAAGAGTTGGGAAAATAAAAGCTAAAGTAACTCAGAAACACAGTAGCACAATTAAAACTCACTTCTGAAGCAGCAGGGAGAATGAAACTGTAGAAAGCGATTCAGCATACAGAAACTCTCCATACTTGAGGGAAAGGCTAAAGATGGGAAGACCGGAGAGGGTAAGGAGATACACAAGACAGTGGAGAGTTGACATGTGACTGGGCTTCAGCAGAGATCAAAGAAAAGTAGAAACAAGAATCAAGGGTAGGACTTCTGAGGCCAGAACAGAACCACAGGTGCAGAAGGAAAGGGTTCTAGGCATTCTTTTTTTTTTCAAAAGCAAGGAAAACAGGCAAACACCCAGTTATCTCTTTGTTGTATATAGTAAATGACACAATAAGAAAAATATACATGCAGATTGAAAAACAACAATAAAAAGAAATGGGCAGACGATTACTTAGTAATGGCTATAATGTCTTCGGGGAGGAAACTTCCAACAGAGTTTTCTATCTAGTTGGATAGTCTTCTCATACACACTAGCCCCCACCCCCACACACATACCCCAAGGCATTCTCAAATGTGTAAAGCTCAGAAAATAATTCAGTATTTGCCATCCAATCACTTATAAAATAAATTTAAATATGAGGACTTTGAGAGAAGAAAAGTTAATGCTATAAACACGTGTCCCCTGAAGTCATTAAACATAAAAGTTTGAAATTTGATTCTAAAACTTAAAGGCAAATATCAAAACTGTTAAAATGTTTACAAAGGAACATTAAGAATATCTGATTATAAGAATTTAGTTGAAATTTTGGGTCATATTAGCAAAAACCAGTAGAAAAAGGCATGGAATCAAACTGCTTAAATAAAAATGTCAAAGATGTTATTTCATGCTTGACTCTACCAAATAAGATACTCTTTTGAAATACCACAAAATGCCAGAGAACTCAAGAAATAAATTACAAATTAAATTGTGTCAAAAGATAAGCCAGAGAAAATAGAAAGTATAAGAAGGCATTTTTGATACATTAAGATCATAAAAGAGGAGTAGATAAGATATGTTTGGTGTAACTTTTATAAAAAGCGTTTTAAAAATCATAGGGTTGGAGAGATGGCTTAGTGATTAAGAGCACTGATTATTGTTCCAGAGGACCAGAGTTCGATATCCAGCATCCACATGGCAGCTCACAACTGTCTGTAATTCCAGTTCCAAGGGACCTGACACCAATGCACACGAAATAAAAACTAAACAACAACAACAACAACAAAAAAAACCACACACACACACACACACGCAGACACACACAAACCAACTATTTGACAATAAAATAATGAAAGCAAAGTATTTATCACTCTTTTCAATACTCAACTATTGCTTAAGAAGGTGCTGACAGTTACTCTTTGTTGTCTTTTTTGGGAGGGGGATTTTGAGACAGGTTTCTCTGTGACTTTGGACTCTGTCCTGGAACTCGCTCTGTAGACCAGGGCCAGCCTGAAACTCATGGAGATCTGCCTGCCTCTGCCTCCCAAGTGCTGGGATTAAAGGCATGTTTCCAGCTACTCTTCATTGTCAGTTTAACTGCATTTAGAACCAACTAGGAAGTGATGGCTATACACACGGGTTACATGTGCTGAAGTTCTCAGTACCCACATCGACAGCTCACAACCACTTACCACACCTTGATGACAGACCCCACTGAAATCCTGAGCCAAAATAAATCCTTCCTCCAAGTTGTTTTGTCAGGTTCTTTGTAATGCTGACAAGAAGGGTCACTTATATACAAGGATGTAAGAGAAAATTTCAAAGACAATTTAAATGGGGACAAAGGTTTTGTATATCAGCAAATACAAACAAACAAAAATGAGCCAAGAATGGGAAATGTTAATATCAGAAAGGGCAAGGTTCAAAACAAAAATGCCAAAAATGTGTTTTAAAAGGTTACCAAGTAAAGTCATTTTATGGGGTCAGCAAGATGGCTCAGGGTAAAGAAGATTACAGCCAAGCCTGACAACCTGAGTTCAATCCTGAGAACCCACACACTGGAAGGAGAGAACCAACTCCTACAAGGTGTACTGTGACCTCTACACGTGCATCATGACACACCTATACCCACACAGATGCACACAATAAACAAATGTAAAAGTGTTTTGATTGTTTTATATGTGTAATAAGATTTCACTGAATTATATTAAGCAGTGAGACAGGCAGACACAAACACACATATAAATAGAGAAATGTTAAATTAATTCTGAGAGGCTGAAATTGTATAGGCTACACTTCCTGACCACAGTAT